CCCCTAAACCATATCGAGAAGATGTTACATTTAAAAGGATATCTCCAGATAAAATTCCAGATATAACTAAATTCTTTCCAGAGCGAAGTACAGTTGTTGTATTTGAGGATTTATGTGCCGAACCAAAGAAAGTACAAGAACGAATTATTCTCTACTTTATTAGTGGCCGGCATCAAAATATCTCACCTATATATGTAAGCCAGAAATATACACAAACCCCAAAAATTATTCGTGAAAATATCTCACACCTAGCCTTATTTCGGGGCTCGGGATCTAGAGACAATATTTACAGAATTATACGTCAATCTACAGATGATCCAAAAAAAGCATCTAAGATCATCGATAAACATTTGCGGGATCGAGATTTCGTGGTTTTTGATTTTACTAAGCCAGTAGATGATCCTCTAAGTGTACGGCTTGGTTGGGATACCGCTTTAAAATTGGATTAGTAGAATAAGCTTCTGATAATCAAATAATTATTTTTTCAGTTATTTATTAATACAACAATATAAGTACATCCTACTCACCACTTCTTATATAATTGAGAAGATGCACGTATCCAGCCTACCTAGTATTTAAATTGAGGTGGATGTTTTCAGTATCTTATTCGCTACTATTCTCCAATGAAATAGCTATCAGTATCCAGCCTGATTGAGGTTGAAGTAGATATTGAAAAATAAATAAATTCTGTAGTTTATTTGTACTAAGGAGATTTTTGTGCTGGGTAAAATAGGTTGATATGAAAATCAAAGTAAAAAATATTACCAGCCCTCAGGGATAACGAAATAAAGTCTAAAGTACTAGCCCTCAAGGAATACTTTAGGTAGTTTTATTTTAAATAGATATATATATGAATAAGTTATATAATTAATAAATCGAATAAATAGATAAATTATATCTAATAAATAAATATATGAATTGCTTTGCAGACATGGTCTATACATTGTTAATTTGACGCATCTCTTTTCGAATACTTCATAGGAGTTTATAATGTTGAGCAAGTTCTGTAGTGCACATACCTTCGGGTCTGTAGAAATACTCTAGCCATTTTTGTTGTATGACCTTTACAGCTTGAATTTTTCTCCCAACCTCTCTTGCACATTTAACTCTTCTAACAGCATTCTGCATCCACAATTCATAACGATGAATTGCTTCTTTTTCGAAGTAGGAATTACTAAGATTAGCTTCGAATCTGCTTTTAAGTTCTATATAGTCTTTATAACTAATATCACAATAAGCATTTCCTGTGCAATTTGTACTCCAATGCTCATT